AAATCCACTCCACTGTAATTGTATATAGTGATTTACATTTCCGGTACACTCTCTTCTACTCATAGCATGCACATAATTGACCATCGTGTTACTGAGTCGTCTAGCTGAAATGTATTTACAGTGCACTAACTCCAGCTCCTGTCATTTGCCCTTTAGGAATATTTAACAAAAAGATCCTCGAATACCAGGAGAAGAAGAAAAAGGAGAAGGCAAAGAAACACTAGCTCTGGGCGGGGGGGCCGGGTGTACATAGGGGAGTTGATAGGAAATGTCAGATGTGAAAGTTGCACTGTGTGTTTTATGTCCTGTGTCAGTGTGGTTTTAAACAATGTGTGAATTACTGTATGGCTATGTTGCTGCTATCTGTGAAACACTGGCAGAATGAGAGACTGCAGTTCCTCGTGTTCTCAGCCTGTGGCCGCAGTCCGACGCTGATCAGCAGGAAATCATTTCAAATAAAGACTAGTTTTTTAAGTCCACGCATCTACAGTCTCAATCTTTGGCCTCAATGACTAGAAGAAGGTTGTGTTTGTTGAACACGTCTTTCTTTCTGACTGACACATAATTAAACATCCTTACTTTCTATGAACAGAAATGCAGAAATTGATCAGAGCAGTTCATTCCAGTTCGCTTACTAAACATATATAAACAGTGTCTATAATCTATGCAATTTAGTTGGGTATGTATGACAAAATACAATACAAACAATCAAGGACAACATGTAGTTATTAAGGTGTCTCTATGCAGGCTTAGTTTCTCATTCTTAATAATAACCGGGGCCTCCCTCAATAAATTAATAAGTTACTGATTGAAGAATATTTCAGAAACATTTTCCAAGAGAAACATGACAAAACAGAAGCTCTTTGTAAGCTTTGTTTTTGAAAGTTTCTTTATGAATGTGTGTCATTTATTATGAATGCTTTTATGTTATTATTATTATCATTATTATTATCATACAACTGCTACGCCTGTTGCCATAGCCTGCAGTTTGGTCCATGTAGCATCCTGCGTTGGTGCTATAGGGTTATGCACACTGTATTTTTGTCCTATAGATTTTGTACAGTAAACTATTAAAAACAAATATATCATAAAACATGGAATATATTTTTTGATGAATTAGAACAGTTATTACCTATGATGCTTCAACATTTTCTCACAACAAACACTTGTCATATTTGCTGCACAGTTGGTTTTGGGAGAAATGAAGGAGGGAATAAATAAGTGGAGGTTATCATGACTGGGAGTAATCTTCACATTCACATAGGCAGTGTTGTATTGTAACCTAAAGTAATAAAGTATTTTCAAATTCTACTACTGTATTCCTTTACTCCACTACATTTTGTTGGCAAATGTTGTACTCTTGACTCCAATACATTTATTTTAAATATTAAGTTACTAGTTTCTTTGCTGATTTAGGTTAAAATATAAATCGAGACTTACGTTTACATACACTATTATTGTTAAATAACTTAAATACATATCTAGTGTTTATATGTTCCTCTCATCATAATATCTTACTGACTGATTGATTGATTGAAAAGTTTATTAACAGCTTGTATATTGGGTACAGTACAGTACAGCTCAAAACATACAATTGTTAAGGGGATGCAGACCAAAGAAAGACTTTCGTCTTGTTTACACCAGGGTCCCCCATTTCCAATTCATCATATCATTTAAGACATATAAGACATATTTGACATACAGATGGCTTATTTACAATTTACATACAGGTGTTTTTTTACATACAGATTGCTTATTTACAATTTTCATTTTAGATTTTGTTCTAATACATCCTAACCGGACATTTAAGACATACCAAGTCTACAGATATACAGTTAGTAACAGAGTCTAAAATGCGAGTATATACATAGATGGGGGGGGGGAAGCTGTCCATTGAACGACAGGTTGAGATTTGTACCATTATCGGGGCCAGTTTTGCAATGCTCTCCCCCGAAGGTGCTCTTTAAGAGAGGTTTTGAAGGTAAGTATAGTTTTACTTTCCTTTACAGTTGTGGGAAGAGCGTTCCTCCTTGATGTGGCATAATTGCGAAACGTGTATTCCCCCTTTTTTGTGCCAAATCTGGGTTTCACATGATTTGTGGAGCTCCCTCTGGTGTTATGATCATGGTATTCCTTGACCTTTGGGAAGAATTTTGACATGTACATGGGTACCATAGAGGTGTAGTGGATCTTGTAGACCAGGCCCATTGCAAGTAGCTGTACTCTGTCGTCTACTCTAAGCCATCCTAGGTTGTCAAAGTGGGCAGAGGTGAGGTGGGTTCTAGATGAAAGCTCAAGCAGTAGTCTGACCAGTTTATTTTGCGATGTTTGAAGTTTTATTTTTAGCGCCTTGGAGGTGCTATGGTACCATGACGTGCAAGCATAGTCATAGTACCCTTGAATGAGTGCTCCTGCCAGAGTTTTCAGGGTGTTTTTGTTTACCAGAGAGGAGATCCGGTATAGGAATCTAGTTCTTTGATTGACTTTTTTTTATTACATTGGATGCCATTTTGTCACAGGAGAGGTTTGCCTCAAGGATAGATCCTAGGTATGTAATTTCCTTCTTACTTGTGACAATAATGTCGCCCACTGCAACTGAGAAGTCGTCGGATTTGCTGAGATTATGTTTCGAACCGAAGAGAATGGACTCTGTTTTACCCAGGTGTAATGATAATTTATTATCGGTGAGCCAGGTGCAGATTCTGCCGAGCTCGTAGCTGAGGGTTTTTTCAACCTGCAACCTGTTCCTGTCAGAGACTAGCAGGGCTGAGTCGTCCGCGAACAGGAACAAGTTGCAGTCACATGCTGATGACATGTCATTTACATAAATTAGGAACAGTAACGGACCTAATATGCTTCCTTGTAGAACACCACAGCTCACTGGGAGGGGGGGGGGGAAAGAGTACCGTTTACCTCCACCATCTGTTCTCTCCCCTCCAGGTAGGATTGCATCCAGCTCACCGATAGTTTATCAAAACCAATTGCTTTTAGCTTGTCAATCAGAATGGGGTGATTGACAGTGTCGAAAGCCTTTTGTAGGTCCAGCATCACCATGCCGCAGTATTTGCCCTCGTCCACCTCTTGTTTGATGTGGTCGCTCAAATAAAGAAGGCATGTGTCAGTGGAGTGGGATGTTCTAAAGCCAGATTGAAATTCATAGATTAGTTTCTTTTCCGCGAGGTACTTTTCGACCTGTTCATATACTATTTTTTCCATGACTTTCGAGATGGAGGTAAGTTTAGAAACAGGGCGGTAGTTGCCTGGGTCCAATTTGCTGCCCTTTTTCTGCAATTTTGAAGTCTTTGGGTACTTTTCCCTGTTTTATGGAGAGGTTAATTATGTGAGCTATGACTGGTGAGATGGCGGTTGCTGTGTCTCTGAGGAATTTGGAGGGGATATTGTCGTGGCCAGTGGTCTTGTTAGGTTGGAGGGCGCTCAGTTTAATGAGTACCTCTGCTGTTGTTACCCTTGCTAGACTGAAATCATCTTTGCGTACCCCTAGGTTTTTGTAGTAGGTCATGATGTGATCTACTCCAAAAAGCCCTGAGTGGGAGGGTAATTTATTTACAAGAGTTGTGGCTATGTTTGTGAAAAAAAATGTCAAGTACTTGGCCACATCCAGTTTGTCTGTGATGAGCCTGTTATTTGTCTTTATGTTTAAGTTAGAAAATCTCGTTTTGAGTTTTTTACTGCAGCCAAGCTTGTTATTGAGTAATTTCCAAAGTTCACGGGGTTTATTTTTGTTTTCCTCAGTTTTGACATTGATGAAATTCTTTTTGGCAGTTTTGATCATGGAGCTTACGTCATTTCTTAGTCTGTTTCTTTCAATTTTTAGTTCAGTCACGTGGGCCTGGAGTTCACTGCTCGTGCTTTTGGAAAGCATTGACTGACTTTTATGAAACTCAGAGCATTTTTTGTCTCTGGTTTTCATGGCGGTCAGTATGCCGGAGTGCATCCACGGCTCAGCGCGATTTTTTACCCTGGTTGTTCTTAGGGGGGCCAAATCATTGAGTATTGCAGAGAATTTGTTTTTGAAACCAAGCCATGTTTCTTCAACTTGTGTACCACTGAGCTCATCTGACCAGTCCAGGCTCTCCAGTTCTAGGTTAAAGGCCTCGTCGCTAGCGTAGTTTTTGAGGTCTCTAGATATGTCTGTTTTGTGACAGCCGGCCCTTTGTTTTAGCTTTTTGCGTGTACAGAATATCATATATACTGCGTATTTTTACGTTTGGTACTTGAAGTATATGGTGATACTTTTGAAGTACACATTTGAATGCAGGATTTTGACTGGTATCAGAGTATTTTTACACTGTAGTATTGCTACTTTTCCTCAAGTAAATAATCTGTGTACTTCTTGCAAGTTCTTGGACCTCTGATTATAGGGAAGAATTCTGCCGTTTTGAGTGAAAAATGTTAGTTACCACAAATCTTAGGGCATGTGTCGCAGGAAATACGTATTATAGGGAAATGATATGATGGAAGAAATAAAAAGGTTAGGTTTAAAAGGAGAACAGGACTGATGAGGAAACGGACATACCGCACACTGAGGAGTCAACCAACTCCTGAAGATGGCAGTAGCGTAACACTAATGCAAGCTGCTGTTCTTATTATACATCCATGGCTAAACCTGAGGAGGAGGAGGAGGAGGAGGAGGATTGTCCACTAGGTGTCACACTGAGTTCAAACTGATGGTGACGCAACCCTCGGCAGAGCAGAGGAAGAGACGGCAGATACCGCACCTTCGACCAAGGTAAGTGAACAAAGACCAACTATAAAAACATACAGGATTAAAGCACTAGAAGACAATATGTTGAACGTTTTCTTTAGTTTATTATCTTACTAAATGATCTGCTAACTTGCTCTTTTATATGACGTTCAGTTTAAAAACAAAGGACTCAAGCTATTTTAGCAGAGAAGTGGCTAACGTTTACTTGCTAACTTTCCCTTAGCTATTCGCTTTGGGTAACTTCAAGTTGTAAAGTACGTGCAAAAGGAAATATAGATTTTCTAGTTTAGGTTTTCAAAATAAAACTCAAAATAACGAAAATGCGACGAAACAGTCATTCTTATAAATGACAGTTTTATTTTGAAACGCATATCCGGTGTAGTTGATACTCTCTCTGCGTAACTTGACGCAGCCAGGAACTTTAATGGCTAACTAGCAAGCTAACTAATATAGCAGGGTAAAGCATTTGTTTATGAGGCTAAGGGTTAAAGAAAAATCGAAACTAATATTCTAAACTATATTTGAATCAAAGTTACGTTAAGGTAAGTTGGTGTTTCTCTATATTATCTTATATCTTAAGGTAACGTAAGTTTATGTCACGTATGGCTACGTTGCAACCGAAACTAACTACTTGGGGAGCTAGCTCCGTGTTGTTGACACTTGCCAGGGCAGTCTGTTTTTGACAAGAGAAACACACCAAACGATTACATTCTGTGTAAATTACAACTGTATCTTCAGGCGATATTACACTTGACGTTACATTTTCTAATATTGCCATTATTATTTTGTAAATGTTAGATAAATAGCGATTCCAATAGCGTTTCACTGTCTGATTAAAATAGCAACTCTACCAGCTTAACTTACTGTCATTGTCCGAATATAGATGAGCTTTTTTAAAACCGTTTTGTTCCAAACCCAAATACACAGTGGTATAAGGAGTACTCAGATATTTAACTTAACCCTCCGGTATCATTCGATTGGACTACGCAAATTAGTCATTCGAGACACAAATGTCCACTGCAAAAGACTTTGATAAAAACATTATATTAAAAGGTTTTTTTCACAACTTTATTGGGTTCAAACTTTAAAGCAACTTCCGCCCTAACAGAAAATACAAAAAATGTAATCATTTTCAGGATTTTAACCCTTTAAATGCCATTTTGAATACATGAAACCGCTGTTTTTTTTCATGATGAAAACAGAGAAAATTAGTTATTTTCCAAAAAATACATATCTGAGGACTGGCTCTTTTTTTTTTTATAACAGTCTTGGATATGTCAAAGATTAGCAACAAAATGGATTTTTTTGCATTATTAGCTTTTGCACAAAATCAGATTGAACAAAAAAGTTACAAATTAGTCATTCGGGACAAAAATGTCCACTTCCAAAAACTGCTCTAAAATGACAACAGATTAATATTTTTTAAAACTTTTTGGGGTTAAATCTTTCAATCAACTTCATTCCTGATCAAAAATACCAAATGTTAAATTATGTTCAGGATTTTAACCCTTGAACTGCCAGTTTGAAAACATGAATTTGCGTTTTCTATGAAAAACATGCACAAAAAGGCAGTTATTTTCCATATAATAAATGTTGGGGGGGGTCGGCTTTTTTTTTATCACAGTCTTGGATATGTCAAAGATTAGCAACAACATTGATTTTGGTTGATTATTAGTTTTTGCACAAAATCAGATTGAACAAAAAAGTTACAAATTAGTCATTCGGGACAAAAATGTCCACTTCCAAAAACTGCTCTAAAATGACAACAGATTAATATTTTTTAAAACTTTTTGGGGTTAAATCTTTCAATCAACTTCAGTCCTGATCAAAAATACCAAATGTTAAATTATGTTCATAATTTTAACCCTTGAACTGCCAGTTTGAAAACATGAATTTGCGTTTTCTATGAAAAACATGCACAAAAAGGCAGTTATTTTCCATATAATGAATGTTGGGGGGGGTCGGCTTTTTTTTTTTATCACAGTCTTGGATATGTCAAAGATTAGCAACAACATTGATTTTGGTGGATAATTAGTTTTTGCACAGAATCAGATTAAACAAAAAACTCACACATTAGCCACTCGCGGACAAAAATGTCCCATCCACTCCCATTATAACCACATCTTTTGATCTCTCCGCCATACCGGTATAAAATCATGCATTTTGTAATGTCAGGGTTTTATATTGGAGGAAAATAGTTCAATTTGTCCTTTTTACTGTAAAAACCAGATGTGACATTTTACCATTGAATTACATGCTTGTCATTTCTTGGTTTCTTTGCCTGTTGTATAATGGGGCCCTGAGAGCCATTGGAATACATGTCTGCAACTAATATGTGTGTGTGTGTGTGTGTGTGTGTGTGTGTGTGTGTGTGTGTGTGTGTGTGTGTGTGTGTGTGTGTGTGTGTGTGTGTGTGTGTGTGTGTGTGTGTGTGTGTGTGTGTGTGTGTGTGTGTGTGTGTGTGTGTGTGTGTGTGTGTGTGTGTGTGTGTGTGTGTGTGTGTGTGTGTGTGTGTGTGTGTGTGTGTGTGTGTGTGTGTGTGTGTGTGTGTGTGTGTGTGTGTGTGGAGACAACAATATACAGTAGATTTGGTTTACAGCAAGTCGCAGTTTTCGCCTCATATCTTTCTCTCACTCCCTCATTCCCAAACTCATACACACTCTTGCATATTAAACCTCCTTATACCTTGTATGTGTGTGAGTGATTGTGTGTGAGAATGAGACGGGAGTAACGGCCCGTCCACACACAGGCATGAAAAAAATCTTTCAAAGCTTCGCCCATTCACTTGAATGGGGTGACGTAGAAGATTTTGAATCTTCGCCGAACTGAATTGTGGGGAGCGGAGCGTGGCTTTGCAAGCATCGTGAGCATCAAAAGTTGAGCAATGTTCAACTTTTGATGCTCCCGATGCTTTCGAAGCTGGCATCAGCCAATCAAATCCTGTTTATGCAAATCCTGCCAGTACAAGCGCTAGCCAATCAAACCGCGTGCAAGCTGGGAGAGCCAGACCGCAGTTCATTTCCTCATATTCCAAACGAGAAATTACGGTAGCAAATCACCCGGTTCTTTCCGACCAGAACTATTTACCGGGATACAAACCGGAGGAACCAGGCATGGAGGGAGGAGGCAGAGGACAGTGGGTGAAACTGGTAGGTTTTCGCCTGTTTGGGGATTTTATATCCAGTTTACTTCGTTTTAACATTGCTATTGCTTTGTATGTCGGGGGCGGGAGATTCATGTGATTGGTTGTTGGTCGTGTTGCTCTCAAAAAATCGCCAAGCTTCAGACACGCCCAGCTTCAAGATTTTTTTCATGCCTGTGTGTGGACGGGCCGTAAGTGCTCTCATGAAGTTTTGTTTTTCATTTGTGCTGTTTCATGTGTCTTTGAGGTAAACAGATGTATGATCTTGACCCAGCTTGACCTCGATGTTTTGAATTGTTTGGAACTTCAAAGTCCTTTGATAATGTCTCTTTAGCAAACAGACATACACAGCCATACATATACTCCTTGAAGTAAATAAAAACACCTGGCTGCAAAGCCAAAGCTTCAAATATGTGTAGTTTGGCTGGATCGTCATTTCATTCCTGTGATACGCAACAAGCAGTAAGATGAAGAGGAGCTTCTCTGTGGGATAACGGCCCGTCCACACAGCAGCTTTAGACGATTCTTCCACCGCTTCCAACGCTTCTCTGCCCATTGACTTTGAATGGGGATGACGTCACTTTTCCTCGCTTGTCGCCGAACTGCATTGTGGGGGAGCGAAGCGAAGATTTCCAGGATTTCCAGGATGTTCAGGATTCAAAAGTTTAGCAATGTTCAACTTTTGAAGCTGAGCTGGAAGCGTCAGCCAATCAAATCCCGTTTATGCAAATCTGACAGTAGAAGCGCTAGCCAATCAAACCGCGTGCAAGCTGGGAGAGCCAGACCGCAGTTAATTTCCTCATATTCCAAACGAGAAATTACGGTAGCAAATCACCCGGTTCTTTCCGACCAGACTATTTACCGGGATACAAACCTGAGGAACCAGGCATGGAGGGAGGAGGCAGAGACAGTGGGTGAAACTGGTAGGTTTTCGCCTGTTTGGGGAGTTTATATATATATATAGTTATATATATTTATTAGTTATTGAGTTATTGAGTTATTTATATATATATATATATATATATATATATATATTGCTCGCATAAAATCCCCGGTTTTTTTTGCTTTGTATGTCGGGGGCGGGAGATTCATGTGATTGGTTGTTGGTCGTGTTGCTCGCAAAAAATCCCCAAGCTGTCAGACACGCCCAGCTCCAAGATTTTCAAGATTTGTTCAAAGCTGCTGTGTGGACGGGCCGTAAGAGGTCTCATGCAGCCCGTAACTTCAGCTGCAGGACTCATCCTCTGAAACAGAAACACGCTGAGAAGGAGAATCTGGTGTGGATCTGAACCTTGCTTGAAAGGAGTCAGCACAAGGATAAAACACTTTTTTGCCAAACAGTTTGCCAAACAGTTCATTTATCAGATGGGGGCAGAGAAGAAGGAACAATTCTGACCCGAATCCCACGTTGATACAGAGGAATCGATGAGGTCCTTTGCTGAGGAGGTTGAGGAGCTGCAGAGGAGCTGCTGAGGAACTGCTGAGGAACAACACGATGGTGATCAGATTGAGATATATGAAGGACTACAAAACCTTTTGGATGAAAAAAGCCTGATGTTCACAAAAGTGCTTAGTGATCTCCTCCTCAATCACACCACAAAGGGGATGATAGCACCAGAGATTGCCACAGGAGTAACAAGAATATTCGTTGCGCCGCCGCGTGAAGCCATGCTTAGAGAAATAATCAGATGTTTGTGGTGGAGTCTGATCGTTCTTTGTCTGACCCTTCCCCTGAAAGTGGAGAGGACACAGAGGATCCCATCCCGTAGCTGCGCTACATTCCTCTGCACTATCCTATCCAATGTTTGCTCAAACATCTGTGGCATCAACATCCTTCCAGTTTGCCACCAAACGTCCCCCATGCAGGTGTATCATGTCAACAATACTGCTGATGATCTCAGGGGTAAAGAATAAATCAAAGAAGGATTCCACATCATGAATTCTTATTTATGCCACTCGTAATGGCATAACGCGTGGGACCTGAAACCAAACCTCTGGCAGCAGGAATATAGCGCAGCGTTCCTCGTGAGAGGGAAACCAGATTTGAAAATGTTTTGATGGACACCCACTGCCACGATGGACACGATCCTCCGGATAGGATAGTGCAGAGGAATGTAGCGCAGCTACGGGATGGGATCCTCTGTGTCCTCTCCACTTTCAGGGGAAGGGTCAGACGAAGAAGGATCAGACTCCACTACAAACTCCACATCAGATTCTCCTTCTCATGTTTGGCAAAAAAGTGTTTTATCTTTGTACTGACTCCTTTCAAGCACAGTTCAGATCCACACCAGATTCTCCTTCTCAGGGTGTTTCTGTTTCAGACGATGAGTCCTGCAGCTGAAGTTAGGGGCTGCATGAGCAGATACCTCTTGTCCCACAGAGAAGCTCCTCTTCATCTTACTGCTTGTTGCGTATCACAGGAATGAAATGACCATCCAGCCAAACTACACATATTTGAAGCTTTGGCTTTGCAGCCAGGTGTTTTTATTTACTTCAAGGAGTGTATGTATGGCTGTGTATGTCTGTTTGCTAAAGAGACATTATCAAAGGACTTTGAAGTTCAAACAATTCAAAACATCGAGGTCAAGCTGGGTCAAGATCATACATCTGTTTACCTCAAAGACACATGAAACAGCACAAATGAAAAACAAAACTTCATGAGAGCACACTTAGTCCTGTCTCATTCTCACACATAATCACTCACACACAGTATAAGGAGGTTTCATATGTAAGAGTGTGTATGAGTTTGGGAGTGAGAGAAAAAGAAAGAAAGATATGAGGCGAAAACTGCGACTTGCTGTAAACCAAATCTACTGTATATTGTTGTCTCTGTACACACACACTGTACACACACACTGTACATCCAGACACACACACACACACATTTCTCAGCTGATACCACTCTTCCACATCCATACCAACACACCTACATCATATTAGTTGCAGACATGTATTCCAATGGCTCTCAGGGCCCCATTATACAACAGGCAAAGAAACCAAGAAATGACAAGCATGTAATTCAATGGTAAAATGTCACATCTGGTTTTTACAGTAAAAAGGACAAATTGAACTATTTTCCTCCAATATAAAACCCTGACATTACAAAATGCATGATTTTATACCGGTATGGCGGAGAGATCAAAAGATGTGGTTATAATGGGAGTGGATGGGACATTTTTGTCCGCGAGTGGCTAATGTGTGACTTTTTTGTTTAATCTGATTCTGTGCAAAAACTAATTATCCACCAAAATCAATGTTGTTGCTAATCTTTGACATATCCAAGACTGTGATAATAATAAAAAAAAGCCGACCCCCCCCCAACATTCATTATATGGAAAATAACTGCCTTTTTGTGCAAGTTTTTCATAGAAAACGCAAATTTATGTTTTCAAACTGGCAGTTAAAGGGTTAAAATTATGAACATAAGTTAACATTTGGTATTTTTGATCAGGACTGAAGTTGATTGAAAGATTTAACCCCAAAAAGTTTTAAAAAATATTAATCTGTTGTCATTTTAGAGCAGTTTTTTGTCCCGAATGACTAATTTGTAACTTTTTTGTTCAATCTGATTTTGTGCAAAAGCTAATAATGCAAAAAAATCCATTTTGTTGCTAATCTTTGACATATCCAAGACTGTTATAAAAAAAAAAGAGCCAGTCCTCAGATATGTATTTTTTGGAAAATAACTAATTTTCTCTGTTTTCATCATGAAAAAAAACAGCGGTTTCATGTATTCAAAATGGCATTTAAAGGGTTAAAATCCTGAAAATGATTACATTTTTGGTATTTTCTATTAGGGCGTAAGTTGCTTTAAAGATTGACCCCAAAAAAGTTGTGAAAAAAACCTTTTAATATAATGTTTTTATCAAAGTCTTTTGCAGTGGACATTTTTGTCTCGAATGACTAATTTGCGTAGTCGATTTGTTACACAGTGAATTAAAGACCGATTTGAAAAATTGGAATTCCAAAATAGATCGAGAAAATAGCCTTGTTACAAAAAATCAGGCCATTTGCACCAACACAACCAAAGTTATTGCAAAATGAAAAGTGAAAAATGACCCATATGGACAAAAACGTCCACAGTGATACCGGAGGGTTAAGTGAAAGTAGAAATATTACAGTGTACAAATAGTCTGCTAAAATCCTGCATTATAAAGGTTACTTAAATAAAAGTACAAACGTATTAGCATCAAAATATACTTAAAGTACCAAAAGTAAAATTGCTTATCTTGCTAATATCCCATTTTAGGATCATATATGTTAAATGAAGGGATTATGTTTATTGATATTATATTAATCATCACAGCCGGTAAAAGGTGAAGCCACTTGTATTTACTTTATAGACTGCTGCTGAATATCTTTAACCTATAATATAGTTATTTAAAATGATAAATCAAATATATCATATGTCTGTTTATTCGTTTATTTACATTTTTGTTTTAGCCAATAACGTGACTCTGTAAACTAATTCTGTCAAATAATTGTGGTGTAGTAAAGGGTACAATATCGGCTTCCAAATTGTAGTGGAGTAGACGTACGTATAAAGAAGCATCAAATAAAAATACGCAAGTAAAGTAACAGTACCCCAAAATCGTCCTTAAAGGTGGGGTATGTAAGTTTGAGAAACCGGCTCGAGATCGCTAGAATTTGAAAATACACGACCGGAGAAAATCTGCCACTTCCTTACAGAGCCTCTCCTCCAACACACACGAACGCGCACATGACCAATGAGGGCACGAGATCAGTTTGTGCCCAGATGGAAGGCTGACAGGCAGGTAGGCCATCCAGTTATTTCAGCCGGGCCGGCTAACATGATTGGTCGTGCTTTTTACAGCGCTACGGCTTCCACAGATGACATGTTTTTATGGATTTTTTGTCAAAGCACTTCAGATATTCATTGCTATCGGGATGTTAAGAGCATTCCATGGAATATAACAAAAAGTGTATCTCGAGCCGGTTTCTCAAACTTACCTTTAAGTACAATACTTGAGTAAATGTCGTCTACTAGAATACACCACTGCAAATACATTTGACTATTGATCAACTCATACAAATATTTGCTGAAGGTGTTATTCAGGGAGAGTAAAAACACAGGTTTTTCAACACGCTTTCCATTGAGTTACATTTGTATTAACAACGTAATGCCTTTTCAGCTCATCATATCTGAACAAGCATTTCAAGTTCTCCGTTTGGCGAGATACTACTATGAAATCTGTTCCATTCTAATGAGGGTGTACCAACCTTTTGAGTTCCCCTCCTCAAAGATGCCTCTGCTCACTGAAGCGAGGCAGGGAGGTCTGACGCTTTAACATGAAGTCACGCCAGCAACCTTACGAAGGGTGTACCTTTTACATTTTGGGAAGACTTCCAACCCTGCCCAGGCGCCTGAAGCAGGAATACAATTCAAAATGTATTCCAGTAGTTACATGTTTCGGCCAGTCAACAATCTGTTACTGAGTTACAAATGGGTTGGCTCCATATTCACAAGGGACTCTCCAAATGTGGAAAACTGCACAGGCTGCAGGTCTAAATGCTCCCATTGTGCAGTTATTTTTAGCATTTCTATTCATTTCACTATTGCAAAATACACATTTGTCAAACGAGTGACTTGATACTTGTACCTGAAGTATTTATGTTCATGATTATGCTTGTTTAACTGCCATTAATCTGCATTAGTATTAGACACATATTGTGCCGCAAACCCTAGCTATCTCACAGAGGGACTCCACCTTCAGTGCTTGCACAAATCCGATTTCCTCATTATTTCTTCATAACTGCACAATGTTATCAACATTGCTTTTCTCAGACAGCAGAGGCAGCTGCTTTCCTTCCTCTTTTTCAGGGCCAACTGTCATGTCATTTCATACTTCAAATCTTTGAGCGTCCAGCTAAGGGTTTTAGCATCTGAGCATGACAGCCTATCCTGCTGCTCTTTAAGGCCCTCCTTCTCACTCTGTGGTGCAGTGTTTTTTTCCTGGCTGTGTGGCAACCTCCTGATTGGATGTGTGCTTCCACAGCGTGTCTGACCAGGGTTGTGATTTACCGCACGCATGCTATCCGCTCACCTATCGTCTGTGTATTTCTCCAGGTAAAGCATGGCAATGACTAGCCCCAGCTCGTGCTCCTCCATGAGTAACCACACGAAGGAGCGCGTCACTATGGCCAAAGTGACCCTGGAGAACTTCTACAGTAACCTCATCGCCCAGCACGAGGAGCGGGAGATGAGGTAAGACCCACCATTTTCACATTTACACAAGTCTTTCTCCTGTGGCTGCACAATGAACTTTTGCATAAATGAATAATATGAATAATAGTTAGTTAAATAGAGGTGCCCCATCAATTGTGATCTGACATGCCACAACAAGCCAAAATGGGAATTACACCAAGTTTAAATCTATAGGGACAACTGAAAGCTGATCAAAATCGTAACGATAAACTATACACAGTCTATCTGGATCATAGACTCTGTATAGTTTATCATTACGATTTGTATCCTTAATCTTGGCGTAACGTGGCGTGTTGACTAGGGATGGGTATCGTCTGAAATGTATCGATTCCGATTCTGCTTATCGATTCCGGTTCTTATCGATTCCCCGTTTCGATTCCAAAATTGTAAAAGAAAGAGGTCAAACGTTTAGATAACAAAAATATCTTTATTCTTTTAAGCTTTAACCCTAACCCTGACATTTTTACAAATAAAAAAAAATACATGCAATCCAAATGTATTACACAATAGCTGAGCTTTGCCTGTGGCAAGCTATTAACTTGCCACAGGCATAGCATTGTGCCTTGTCCTTTTCTTTCTCAGTGTGGTGGAGCCTCACTTTAGAGCGTTTACCGCGACCCATCTTTGGTGTTATGAAGTGACTGAGCTCGTGAACTGTCTACGGGGGGAGCCTCGCTGCGGGGCAACTGTGGACCTCTGTCGCCTGTCGGCGCAACCTACATGATGCCGTTAAAAAAAACTAAGGGCGGTGCCGGCCGTCAGCAAACCGAGCCGGCCCGCTGACGACCGGCTGTTCCGTGGTTCTCCAGAACACAGATGGCCAGTCCGCCCTGACCCTGTATTCCACCGGGTCACCGCGGCGCAGACGGACCCGGTGGAATACAGGGTCTACCGCGTTGAGGAACCATTAAGCAGAACCGAAATTGTGTATTTTGTATAGGTACCCGATACCCAGCATTTTCTTATCGGTTCTCATCTGGAACCGAGTTTCGGTTCCCAAACCTAGTGTTTGCGCTTCTTGGCAAACACCGACAGTACAGCCCATCTATTATGTTAACGCAGTTCACGGGGAATTGTGGAAAGTAGTTCGCCCTTGTGTGGGTGCTAGAAGCAAAACGTTCTTTTATCACAGTAACAACAGTGTTGCAAAGTCAATTATGGGGCAAACCGTTATAGCACCCACCCCCGTGGATTTAGGCCGGTTTAAATAGATGTATTGCAATGTTCAAAGGGGCCATCAGATTTATACCTGCTATTTTGATCCATTTGTAGGGTTAGAGTATCCAAATGATCAAGCCTGAGCTGACTGGCACCGCAGCAACACACACAATATAAACATTTCATTGTGGGGTGGGGGGGGGTGGCTTGTGTCAGAATTGTGATGAGACAAGACCACTTCCTGTTGTGACAAGTTTCATCAGAGTATACTCATGTCTGGAGCAGATAAGTGGCTAACGTTTTTTTTAAGATGATGACACAATAGTTTAGTTCGTACAGATGTGGGTTTGAGGGTCATAGAGGGAAATCTCTAAATGATAACTTTAAAAGCTTAACATTAAAACCGGCTCACTGGCAAGAGTTCAAACTCTAGACCCCGAGCTTATAACAGCCGTACTGTTAGAAATGTGAATTGTCTTTCTGAGATAATGATGAAATGTAATAATTAAATTAAATCAATAGAAAAAATCTTGTTTGAGTTTAATTATATGTCTAGTGATTCAAGTATTACAATTCATCCTTTTGACTGATATGTATCGGATATCTCTGAGTTTAACAATGAAACGTGTATAGTGTCAGAAGCATCCGTAGCAGGGCCCTCTAATATGATGGGATGTTCTAATGTGTGTCATATTATCTCTTTAGGCAGCAGAAGCTGGAGAAAGTGATGGATCAGGAAGGCTTGGCAGATGAAGAGGTGAGTGACAAACACACGTGCACTTTTTTCCCAGCATGCTTTGTGGCTGTACAACATCATTTGTTCTCTCCTGTCATAGTGTTAAGAGTTTTAGATCTGCTGGACCACAGCTGTAGGTGTTTGAACTGTCACCTGTGCAAAAATATTCTTTATATCATTTTCTATTTGACATGACCTTTGCTCTGCAGAAACGTATCCGGCGCTCTCAGCATGCGAGGAAAGAGACCGAGTTTTTGCGGCTGAAACGCACTCGACTGGGTCTAGAGGACTTTGAGTCCCTGAAGGTGATTGGCCGAGGAGCTTTTGGAGAGGTAAACATATTTTACATAAATATTTAGAACATGATTCCTGTGTGCGTTTTGAAAGCATTAAAGATCAAACTCTTGGATCACAAAGAGGAAAACAAATGTTATCTATATATTATAATGTGTGTTGTCGGCATTGGGTTAATATTACCAGGAAGATCATTCTTGAGTCTGACTGATATGAGTAGCATGGCTTCCCTTGGTGTATAATAGCACTCTGCCTCCTAAGTGACAGACAGCTGTAATGAAATAATTATTTCTGTCTGCTGCTCCGTACATCCTGTGTCTGAAATGCACATATGTGACGCGCTCTATCGAAATCAGTCGGAAGTCGCAACGGCTCATTTCAGAATAAACGTGGATTTACGTAAATAAATAGTTTTTCGGGGTTTGAGTGTTTTTTAAAATTTTAAATAAACAAAGTCTTGGCTTTCAGAATATGAAGCTTTTATTTCCAAAATCACACGATAAATACATTTGTGAAGCTTGTAAAGGGATGAAGACAGGCACCTCTCCCTCGCCAATCTGCTGTTCCGTAGCGCCGCCCCCCTCCCTCCGGCTGAAATTAGGAATGCAAGGCGTATAGTAATCATAGATAACACGGCAGGGTCCGTTACAGTTTGTTTTCATCTGATTTCAATTCAACAAAGTCTTGGCTTTCAGAATATTAAACTTGTTTCGGCAAATTCAGATGATAAATACAACTTTGAAGCTTCAGCATAATTACAAGCGGAGAACGGAGTAACTTAACGTCACAGTGGGAGGCGTGTGGCGCAGTGCGTTGGTGTTCTGATCAGGGGGTCAGAGGTTCAAACCCCACTGCAGTCAGCATGTTGTTGTGTCCCTGGGAAAGACACTTCACCCCAAATGGCTCCTGTGGGGATTGCCCACAGTATTGAGTATGTAAGTCGCTTTGGATAAAAGCGTCTAACAAGTAACATGTAATGTTACGTCACAGCAGGCATAACAACAGCCGGTGTTTCTCGTGAGTGTTTTCCCCGGGAAACAAACACAATACACACAAATGCAAAATTACACAAACAAACACACGTACACACACACACACTCGCGAGCTTCCCCCCAGACCAGTAATCCAAACGAAAATATCTTCCCTCGGTAGTATTTTGATCATTTGCTAATAATCAATCAGATCGATGGATTCCAGAGAAGAGAAAACTTTGAAGGCCTTTTTCTCAAAATGATGACTCGGTGACAGTCATATGGGACATATTTTGCTTAATATTTGGAGTGCAAAAACAATCCTGATATCATTAGAAAGCTAGGAATCTCCTCTTTCCAACAGTGTATACAACTCAAAATGTGTCTTTGGGTCAATGCGACTGATTTTGATGGAGCAGGTCACAAACACCCTTTTCTTATTACATTAATCTGTTTACAATACTACTTTTTAACAGGTTCTTTTTCCTTTGATCAACTTTCTGTGAGTTTTTTGGTTAACATTGTCCTTTTGGCCTCCAGGTTCGTCTGGTGCAGAAGAAAGACACCGGTCATGTTTATGCAATGAAGATCCTCCGCAAAGCAGACATGCTGGAGAAGGAACAGGTGAGGCAGAACTCTGTGTGACAGGATGCTGCTGCTGCATCAGACGACATATTTGACCCTGTGAGTGTCCCTCTCCAGGGGGTCCGCGGGGTCTTCAAAAGTATTAAAAGTTGATAAAACAATTTAGCGAAAATTAAGGCTATTCAAAATTATTAAACGGCATTTTCCAAGGTATTAAGAAGGTCCACAGCAACGGCAACATGAAACACCCTTTAATTTACTGCAACAACACGTTGCCTCCCCTGACTGCAAGTCGCTGACACGCACCGCTGCAGAGTCTCTGCGCGGAGGAGCAGCGGAGTCCGGCCGATGCTGCTCCTCCAAGGAAGAGACACACGTTCACTAAGCCGAACTATATCCGGTCACAGTGATCTGCTATTTTAAAGTAAAGTCAACACATATCGACCCTAAATATAGTCTATATTAAGAACGAGAAAAGTGTTAAAGGAGACATGTCATGGCCATTTCCACTGATCATAATTCCATTGTTGAGGTCTACTAGAATAGATTTATATTGTGCAATTTTCCAAACTCACATTGGTTTCTCAAACAGCATCTCTGTAAACTACGTGTATTCACTGAATTTCACTCTCTGCCTTTAACGGCTCGTTGTAGCTCCAATAGCTCCAGCCCCACCCTCCCTGTGAGCACAGTGTGCTCTGATTGGTCGGGATGTTGTGAATCGCGCTAAACTCCGTGGAGGTGTTGTTTCCTTGTTTAGCGATACACAGCGAAACACAGCCAAACTCATCCTGAGCACACACAAACTCACAGCCGAAGTAAAAACAATAAGTGTGGCTTGATATTGAGTCAGAAAAAGGTTGATAAACGCTGTGAGAATGGGTCTGCAGAGACACTGTGTGTGTGTGTGTGTGTGTGTGTGTGTGTGTGTGTGTGTGTGTGTGTGTGTGTGTGTGTGTGTGTGTGTGTGTGTGTGTGTGTGTGTGTGTGTGTTGTGTGTGTGTGTGTGTGTGTGTGTGTGTGTGTGTGTGTGTGTGTGTGTGTGTGTGTGTGTGTGTGTGTGTGTGTGTGTGTGTGTGTGTGTGTGTGTGTGTGTGTGTGTGTGTGTGTGTGTGTGTGTGTGTGTGTGTGTGTGTGGTGTGTGTGGTGTGTGTGTGTGTGTGTGTGTGTGTGTGTCGTGGTGTGTGTGTGTGTGTGTGTGTGTGGTGTGTGTGTGTGTGTGTGTGTGTGTGTGTGTGTGTGTGTGTGTGTGTGTGTGTGTGTGTGTGTGTGTGTGTGTCAATTTGGACCAATCGGCGGGGGCTTAACGTAACGGCTCCACGGATTGGTCCATTTAGTTCCGGGTACGTAATCTCGTACCCGGAAGAATCAAATGGATGATGACGTTTCACCAATGAGTCGTTTTGGGGAGGTATTTTCTGTGTTAGAGTTTTATTCGCTACATGGTGTACTTTGAGGGTTTTGACTCTGCAAACCGTTTACATGCATAAAAACCTTCATAACAACAAGGGGACGGGTAATAACCGGAAAAGCATGACATGGGACCTTTAACATATATATCGTTTTTAGTTTTATCTCTTGGGAACAATGCCTAAATCTAATGGTTTCTTTTTCTAATAAACCTTGCATTGGGTTAGTCACACAATTCATTCTCTTGTGCTTTTTTCTATCACAAGCTGTTTAGTTGTGCTATCTTACAATCCATACTGTATATAGTAAATGTGAGGTAAAGTGTGTCACCAATGTAACCGGTTAGAACTGGAAGTGGCGATGAGGTCTTAAAATGTATGGAAAGGGTCTTAAAAGGTATTAAATTTGACTTCAGGATTCCTGCATATACCCTGCTCTCTGTCTTCAGGTTGGTCATATTCGTGCTGAGAGGGACATTCTGGTAGAGGCAGACAGCCTGTGGGTGGTGAAGATGTTCTACAGCTTCCAGGATAAGATGAACCTCTACCTCATCATGGAGTTCCTGCCTGGAGGTATGACGCCTTGACTCAGACCACTGACATTGCTAACACAAAAGTGACTTCCAACCAGGTTAGATCGTCAACGTCTAATCATTATTTTTAACTCATCGTTTGATGAATTTTCCAACTGGAGGAACTAATGTTAGTTTCCACTCCCCCATGAAGATAAGTACGATAATTAGATAAAACTATCTGAAAAACTAAACAGTGATTCTGGGCCCTTTCCTCAAGTAGGAATGTCAGAAGAGCCAATTCTCACATACCAAGTTGATGTCACTGAAAATACGAAGTTACTCTTTTCTTTACAGTATCGCAGGTACTGGGGATCCGTGCTTGGAAACTCCAGCATAAACCGTGCCTAGACAGTGCTTAGTGTCACAATCTGAAAGGACGCTATATAACTCAAATGAAAACGTCCAGGATTGACCCTGATAAAGCTACGTTGTCAACAACAGATCTGTGTTTTAATTGGCACGAGTAGAACTAGTTAATAATAATAATAATTCCTTATATTTATTATAGCGCTTTTTCCATGACCCAAAGCGCTTTACAGATACACATCACACATACATATCAGACATACATGTAATGGTCATGTACTGTGGACAATACCCACAGGCGCAAATTCAGGTGAAATGTCTTGCCCAAGGACACAACGGCTTTGCAGCTTTAATGTTAGCTGTTAGCAGCCAGTTGGCAGCAGCCCAGCTTGACTAAATACCAGGGTTGCGTTCCGATAATCCAAAAATCAGCTCCTAAGTTCTAACCCTATCTCCTATTCCTTGACCTCTGAGTGAAACGTCACGGGGTTAAGGGATAGTGGATAGGATAATTCAAAAGGACTTAGGAGAAGAGACCGCGGTACTTTAGAGAATCGACTGCACTTTCACTATCCCACGTGTTTCTGATGCGCCAGCGGACGTCATGAATGTGCGTCTGCTGCTGTGGGGAAACTATGGAAACTACAGTTTTCTATACAGCGGACTACAACATGGATGTTTAATAAGAACGAGGGACTACTGTAAACTCATCTAGAGACTCTGCACCGTGCTCTGATGCTGTTGCTGTATGCTTTATGAACGTGGACAACAGAGAAACATATTCTTCAGGACCAAAGTTGGAATTGAAATAAAAAAGGAAAGTGAAACTTCTGCTCGTCACCCTCTCCCTCCGGTCCACATTAATACAAATGATCCCAATCCGTATGATTGTATGAACTATTAAAATATCTTAAAATCAATACAGATGTATTTATTATAAACGTTAGTCCTTAACATCTATCACTGTGTATATCACCATTCAAACATCTTTTAAAAGTTGAACAAACCACACAGCTCAGTAAAGACTGTGAAATGTTGACTTTATTTGATAATTTATATTATTATAAAAAATAGTATTGGGCCAACATGAATTATACCATATTCTGTTTCAAATGTAGTTTTTGATGAGAACTAGTGTTAATTTCGTTGACTAAAACTATGACGAAATATGTTCGTCAACGACCTTTTTTTCCATGACGAAAACGAGACGATGACGAGACGGCACCGACGGCAGTAAACAATAACTGTAACGAAATCATCATGCAATATCGTTGACGAAAAGTGACGAGACGAAAATGTAGTTTACTAAATAAAAACTATGCCAAAATCTCTCTTTACTTTCGTTGACGAAAAATGAGGAGACGAAATATTATCAAAGATAACGTTACATCTCTGATAGTCAGTTTTTCTCCCAGCAGTTCCATTTCCGGTGCTGCGGCAGGGCGGCAGCTGTGTGTCTGTGCTGCGCGCGGCGGTAGATTTGAATTACACCGGGCAGCGGCACAATATGAACTGTCAGGAAGACTCGGGTCTAACTCATGGTCTAACTAACCTTATTCAACAGAAAATAAAATGGCAACAACAGGGCTTGGGAGCAGTGGTCGCGTTAACCGAATACCCCCCCGTCAGCGCGAGTGAGTGATAAATTGTGCACTCGACGGATAATAATGGATTATGACGGAAATGTTACGATCCTGTCCGTCAAAATGACTGACAACGAAAAAGTCTAAAGCCACCACTGCTTGGGAGAAAGAAACGATGTGATATTTGGGCCCATTTTCGCTACAATGAGGCGGAGAAAAAAAGCGAATGCATTGTTTCATCAGAAGGGAAGCAATGTGGCCATAACACAGCTGGTAAAAACACCACACACCTGACCAGATACTCTCTGCAAAGCTGCATTCTTAATCATTCAACCTGTGTTTTTCATCAAATAAGGACAAGATATAATCTTATTGTGAAATACGTTTGACTAAAATGACAAATGATTGGTTTTGGCTAGACTAGTTTGACTGAAATGTTCTATATAATCTGATGACTAAAAAAAGACTCAACTGTTTTCATTGACAAAAAGTAGACTAAAATAATTAGTTTTCTTTGACTAAAATATGACTAAAATGCTCAGACTTTTAGTCGACTAAAACTGGACTAAATAAAAACAGGATGAAGGTGACTAAATATGACTAAAACTAAAAAGGAAATTTAACACAGGACTTAGACTAAAACTAAATAAAAAAATAGCTGACGAAATTAACACTAATGAGAACTTGAATAAATCCAGTTATATTTTCACAGCAATATAATATAACCAGGGGTGCACATAACTGATACGCAGGTAGGCATGTGCGGCAAAAATCTGAAATGCGTACCGTCACTTGTGTCACTACGTGCCTTTGCGTACCGACGTACTTGTGAAGCTTTTCCAGAGTCGGACTCCGTGTGCACAGACGGGGCGGGGCTGCTGTTTTTGTGCCAAAACTACGCCAACCGGCTGCGGAGGGAGACTCCCCTTTGCACATTCTCGGTGGATTTTACAGAAACATAAAATTACAGGAAAATAATGAAAAGATAAGATGGAGCAGGGGTGGCCAACCAGTCAGAGGTTAAGAGCCACATTTGTTCTATGTTACTGCAAAGAGCCACATCAAACACACAGTCACTGATACCGCTTGTTTCAGTTTTTTGTTTTCTGGAGACAAGATTTCAACCACGTCACTGATGCGTTTTTGTGGCATTGGGATATATATTTTTTAAATCCTCTGGAGCAGAGAGAGGAGCTGTGGATTATTGTTATTGATTAATGCATCAGTGTTTCTTAGGGTCAAAAACACTAAACCCACAACTTCAAATGAAAGCGTTTAGTTTATTTAATAAAAGAGCACATGTTCAATGTGAAAAGTGACAGTAGTCATAGATTATTTGCAATTTGGTGCTATATATACGGTATATTGAAGAAAAAAAAATCATATATATTTTTTTTTTAAACACCTTGAATTTCAGGGGGGGCTCCGTTGGCGGGGCTCCGTTGGCGGGGCTCCGTTGGCGGGGCTCCGTTGGCGGGGCTCCGTTGGCGGGGCGCAGCGCCCCTTCAAGACAATGGTAGGGGAAACACTGGATAGTGTTTAATCAACGATAGGTTTCCCCCCCTCAAATTGGTTCACTGCATCGCAGGTATTATTGTGATTGGCTCTTGGGCCACATCAAAATTAGACGCGCTGTCATCCTCTCATACTGACACCCGACACCAGGGGCGGACTGGCCATTGGGAATACCGGGAGTTTTCCCGGTGGGCCGGTGCTGTGCGTGGGCCGGAGGGCCAAAAAAATAAAAATAAATTTTTTATTTTTTTTTTGCCTAAATCCTACCGGCCCAAATTTGCAGTGTTCCGGCCACTCCCTTTTTTTTTGGCAGGGAAACGGGGTTCAGGGGGAGTGGCTGTACCCGTAGGATAGAAAAGGGGGAAGTGACGTCTGACTCAGAGGTCGCGCGGCTGTGGAGAAGAACGTGTTGCCCACATTCTGTTACTGAGTTTACGCTAGTTAGCTAGCAGGTTTATTGTTTTGGGTGCAGTCACTTTTGCCTCCACTTGCTGTTCAAATAAATGTTGAAAGAAAAAGTAAATCTGTTCATATGGGTGTTGAGAGATGTATCCATAGATTTAGTCCCTAATTTTGCTCTCAAAGTGCACCAGATTGATGCATTTAACTTCAACATTTAAAAAAAAAAATCTTCCCGGGGGAGCATGCCACCGGACCCCCCTAGAGGAGGTGAGGTCCATCACCTGCCCACACTCCCTGTTAAATTGTCTCACCCACATTGAGGATGCTTCCTACGTCCATGTTTTATTCCATGTGTCAAGTCAGGCAAATTGGGTCCAAATGTTATTGCATCAATGATCTGTTAACATTAAAATCACTAAAGTCTAAGGATAGAGGGTGTCGTTTTTCTCATACTGATAATCTGAACAATCTGTGTTGTTGTATTTGCTGTAAAGTGTCTCTACTGTAGGCTAATTTTATTATATGTACAGCACTTTGGATCGACCAAAAATCGTTTATAAATGTGCTATATAAATAAAACTTGATTTGATTTGATAAATATATGCTGTAACTATTTTGCTCTAGGCAACTCAAGGGCTCAGGTAATGTGATTACTATATGAATAATGGTCCAAAATAACATAAAATGCATAGGGTTTTTTGTTAAGTAACATACTTTTGTTGCCGGCCGGCCGATACATGCCGCGCATTAAGTGGGCCTGTCTGTCAATTAATCCCCGGGCCACTTTTTCCCCCCAGTCCGCCCCTGCCCGACACCACACATACACACGTAGGGAGAGCCGGGACGAAAGTAACACGGGACGAAAGTAACGGAGTGATTTTATCCGAGCCCAAACAACTTTGACCGGCCAAATGACGTCAGAATTATCAGCATTCAATACTTAACAGACCTACTAAATATCAGGTTTAATTGTTAGGAGTAGTGTTGTCACGATACCAACATTTTGGTTTCGATACCAAGTCAAGAATTGCGATTCCGATTCTTTTTCGATACTTTTCTTTAAAAAAGGTAAACAGTCTTAGATGTAATTATTGTGCTTTATTTCACACCAGTACTATAACCATAACACAAACTTTTAAGCTCTGGCAGCTAGCGAGTGCACGAGAGAGGGGAGGCACTTAGAACGTGCTTGAGAGGGGAGGGACTGCAGGCACGGCTGCAGTGCAGGGAGTGGAAGCACAGCGCTGAACACACACGGCTCTTATTAAAACGGCGCTTTCTCACCGGAGTACTTTTCCCCGTCATTCTTAAAGTACCGATACTAATGAAACGGAGGAATCGTAACGTTTTTAACGGCAGGGTATCGCGGTTTACCTTTCAAGTATCGGTACACCGTGCAACACTAGTCAGGAGTCAGTGTCTCTCCCCCAAACTCACACATATAAAATTCGATATGAACTGAAGAGCCGCATAAAACTAGGCAAAGAGCCGCATGCTGAGATAGAGTGTAAAATAGAATGAATTAAGATGCAACAAAAGACAACAAAAAATCCAATGAAACAATCAAATGAAATACCATAAAATGTAAGAACCAGGAGGACGAACATAAGGAATAATCTGAAACCAGCTCCAGTAAAAGCATAGTTAAAAAGGAAGGTCTTGAGCGCACCCTTAAAAGTAAAAACTTAAGAATTTTGCAGACTCCGGGCACCATTAACAGACCTGCACCCTGGGAGCGTAGTGTTCTAGAGCAGTGTTTCTCAAACTTTTTCATACCAAGGACCACTTAACCAATAAAAAAACACTCGCGGACCACCTAACGCTACAAATATCCCAAAACACATCGTTTTTCTAGAACAGATTCTAAATCGCCTGAAAATGGTACAAACAAGTGACAACATGTGTGACGAAGGTGTTGCCCTGGGCTTTATCATGCAATAGAAAGTGAAACTTAAGCTCGTTCCATTGCGGAGATATTCCCGCGAGAGTGCGGAAAACTTAAATTTATTTATTTATTTCAAATGTGAAATGTTACCAATATACTCACGGACCACTAGGGGGCGCTCACGGACCACCAGTGGTCCGCGGACCACACTTTGAGAAGCACTGTTCTAGAGGGGCAGTAGTGGATTCAAACATCTGTCAGGTACAATGATGCCTGACTGTTCGTTTAGTGATTTGAAAGTAAGAAGAAGAAGAAGAAGAAACCACTGTAGAGCTGCTAAAATTGCAGTGCTATGGTCCTTTTTTCCTTTTATGCACCGATATAAAAAATGTCCGCCGATGTTTGGAGTAACAATTTTGCCGATACCGATGTTTTACTGTATATACCTTATTTACGGATGGCGGAAAAATCCCAATGCCGATGTCTCACCGATGTATCGGTGCACCCCTTTATATATACAGTCTATGGTGCATCCCTAGGCTGCAGCATTTTGTACCAGTTGAAGATTTTGGATGGATGTGGTGGGGCAGCTTGATAATAGGGGATTGCAGTAATCCAGCCTATATGTAATAAAAGCATCGATTAGCATGTTTTTTAAAAGCAAGGCAAGGCAAGTTTATTTATATAGCACTTTTCAACACAAGGCAATTCAAAGTGCTTTACAAAAAATGAAAGACATTAAGAAAATGGCATTTAAAATAAACATTAAAAGAAAAAATACATATATAAACATATACGTCCAGTATTAAAGTGTAAAGTGAGTCAGACGGCAGGGTCTGTCCGTTGTGTCCATGCCTCTGACATCCTGCTGTGTGTGCTGTTGTTCTGCAGGAGACATGATGACCCTGCTGATGAAGAAGGACACTCTGACAGAAGAGGCCACTCAGTTCTACATCGCTGAGACGGTGCTGGCCATCGACTCCATCCACCAGCTGGGCTTCATCCACAGAGACATCAAACCAGACAACCTGCTGCTGGACTCCAGGGTGAGGCCTTCCATCATCATCATACACCATATTCAGCTTTTTATTACACTTACTTTACGGCAGTTTCCCATGAGTTGGTGTTGTGAACTTAAGGGCATTTCAAAACCCTTTATGAAAACATATCAGCTTTTTTACCCTCCTAAGTCTAGCATACAAAAGTGCTGCAAAATGGATCCAATTTAAAAATGCGATCATTCTCTGAGGCGGTGTGGGCAAACGGCCACCCGACCCGTGTTGAAACACGAAGCTTCTAGTTTACCACACTTTTGAGAGTGTGACCTTATGTATAATTCCTTTGAACAAATGTGATTATGATTAGAGCACAACATTGACTTAATCTAGCCTCATTATTTCTCTCCAACTCTATTATTTCACTCTTAAAATGCACCAGGTCGCTGTGTTTAACTTTAAATTGGATCCATCGTTCCTAAATAATACTTTATTTATCTTATATCACAATACATATTGCAGAAATAGCAATATTGCAATCTTTTTTTCTTATATGAAAAATAAATCAGTGCTACATTTATTTAAAGTGCAATACATTGTTTTCACAAAATCGATTCATAATTGTGATGAAGAATCTTTATACATCTAAATAATTCTTATCATTCTGGCCATTATTGTGAACCGCTAGCAAACACAGAACATTTAAATGAGCTCTTTATGATATGAATACTTTGCTCCTCACAGAGATGAATGAGAGTCAGGGCGGCCATACTGTTTAACCCTCGCAGTGTACAGCAGCTCTAACAGTGTGTGTTGTGTTCTCAGGGTCACGTGAAGCTGTCAGACTTTGGGCTGTGCACCGGACTGAAGAGAGCGCACCGCACAGAGTTCTACAAGAACCTGAACCACAGCCTGCCCAGCGCCAGCGACCTCAGTAAACAAAGTAGGGCACACCTTCCACTGATCTCATCTCTAGCACATTTGTTTATCTTTTTATCAATATGTGTTTATTCTATTTTTTACATAATAAAAAAGTATTTGAAATAGCTGGCACCACATGTTAGCCTGTTCACTGCATCAGCGCTCTCTGTCCTCAGCCTTCCAGAACATGAACTCCAAGAGGAAAGCAGAGACGTGGAAGAGGAACAGAAGGCAGCTGGTAGGTCTGAGCACAGATGTCATTACACTCGACAGCAGTTTGGCACCGGCCTTTAATTATGTATGACTCAAATGAAAAACACAGCTCAATTTATAGAGGGCATATCCTGCTGATGTTCAGGTCCATTCATATCAGTATGTAGTAGGGGTGTAACGGTTCACATAAGTCACGGTTCGGTCCGTACCTCGGTTTGGAGGTCACGGTTCGGTACGGGTTCGGTACAACAAGAAAAAGCAAAAAAAAGTCCCAAATGCATAATTCCAGGTTTGTTGTTATTTATGATTGAACAGTAGTGCAAGTTTCAGTTTAAAAATAAAGAACTCTTTTTTGAATAATTAACTGTATTAAACAGTTAAAAACAAACCATACACAGTACACTCAGATGGCCATATTATCTATAATGGCTGACAAACAAAAAGGTTTCATCAAGCTGTAAAACTAAAAAGAATGTCTTGAAAATATGACATCATAAATAATAAGAAAGTGTTTCAAGAGCGCAAAGTCGTTGAAAAACATATGCCAAAAGCTTCCGTTATTTATTTTGGTCTCTCAGCTCTCATGTCTCTTGGCTTCTTAAAAACAGCAGGGATCAGCTGTTGAACTGCTGTTGTCTTTTGCCAGGCTCCGGTGATTGGCAAATCTGGGTGATGCCTTCTGATATGATTTAGCATGTTTGGCGTGTGTTACCATTAGCATACCGCACCGCTGTAGAACAACGCCGACACACCGTCCTCGTCCAATCCACCACTCGTCCGATCCACCACTCGTACTCCACCGTTATTGTAGTCCACAGGAAACCTGAAATGTTCCCACACAGCTGATTTAAAAGAAGCAGGTGGGTTCTAGCTCCTGTGTGTTATCTGAAATCGTCATACTAACTTTTCTTCTTGTATTTTGTTCGTTTTGTTGTTGTGTTTCTTCTTGTTCTTCATTTGTTGTTTAAGGGCGGCTGGCAAACAGCTTTTAGGCGCAATACCGCCCCCTGGATTATATATAGTGTAGTGGATACTGCCCTGAATGACAGACTTTTTTCCCACTCGTAAAAAAAAGGCGTATTCGTCGTGTGACTGCGTGTGCCGAACCGTGACGGTACGGGACGAATACGGATACCGTTACACCCCTAGTATGTAGTGTCTCTACTTTAAAGAGTCCTCTCCTGCTGATGTTCAGGTGTATATCAGTATGTAGTGTCTCTACTTTAAAGAGTCCTCTCCTGCTGATGTTCAGGTGTATATCAGTATGTAGTGTCTCTACTTTAAAGAGTCCTCTCCTGCTGATGTTCAGGTGTATATCAGTATGTAGTGTCTCTACTTTAAAGAGTCCTCTCCTGCTGATGTTCAGGTGTATATCAGTATTTAGTGTCTCTACTTTAAAGAGTCCTCTCCTGCTGATGTTCAGGTGTATATCAGTATGTAGTGTCTCTACTTTAAAGAGTCCTCTCCTGCTGATGTTCAGGTGTATATCAGTATGTAGTGTCTCTACTTTAAAGAGTCCTCTCCTGCTGATGTTCAGGTGTATATCAGTATGTAGTGTCTCTACTTTAAAGAGTCCTCTCCTGCTGATGTTCAGGTGTATATCAGTATGTAGTGTCTCTACTTTAAAGAGTCCTCTCCTGCTGATGTTCAGGTGTATATCAGTATGTAGTGTCTCTACTTTAAAGAGTCCTCTCCTGCTGATGTTCAGGTGTATATCAGTATGTAGTGTCTCTACTTTAAAGAGTCCTCTCCTGCTGATGTTCAGGTGTATATCAGTATGTAGTGTCTCTACTTTAAAGAGTCCTCTCCTGCTGATGTTCAGGTGTATATCAGTATGTAGAGCCTCTACTTTAAAGAGTCCTCTCCTGCTGATGTTCAGGTGTATATCAGTATGTAGTGTCTCTACTTTAAAGAGTCCTCTCCTGCTGGTGTTCAGGTGTATATCAGTATGTAGTGTCTCTACTTTAAAGAGTCCTCTCCTGCTGATGTTCAGGTGTATATCAGTATGTAGTGTCTCTACTTTAAAGAGTCCTCTCCTGCTGATGTTCAGGTGTATATCAGTATGTAGTGTCTCTACTTTAAAGAGTCCTCTCCTGCTGATGTTCAGGTGTATATCAGTATGTAGTGTCTCTACTTTAAAGAGTCCTCTCCTGCTGATGTTCAGGTGTATATCAGTATGTAGTGTCTCTACTTTAAAGTGTCCTCTCCTGCTGATGTTCAGGTGTATATCAGTATGTAGTGTCTCTACTTTAAAGAGTCCTCTCCTGCTGATGTTCAGGTGTATATCAGTATGTAGTGTCTCTACTTTAAAGAGTCCTCTCCTGCTGATGTTCAGGTGTATATCAGTATGTAGTGTCTCTACTTTAAAGAGTCCTCTCCTGCTGATGTTCAGGTGTATATCAGTATGTAGAGCTTCTACTGTGACATGTCTCCATGCTTTAATGTTCAAAAAGCTCTTTTCACCCTCTGTCTGAAACCAGAGCCCAGTCTGCTCTGATTGGTTAGCTGGCCGGCTCTGTTGTGATTGGTCAACCGCTTAGGCTAAGGGGCAGGACCAAGCCCCCAGGAAGTGCGCCGGAGTCTGATGAAAATATTCGTGCTGGCCAAACGGCGGTACTACACTTCCGTTTGGTTGCCAGGCCCGGAAACACTTTTTCCCATTGACTTACATGGGGAAAGAGTGGTTTGTAACTCGTTGGATAATTTTTTTTAAACTAAATAAACTACCCAGTATGAACACTTGTATAGCCCTTATTAAAAACATTCGTTCCTCAAGTTGTAAAAATGTGCTAATAACGTTATTCTGAGAGTTATTTCCCTCTGCGTTATGAACGCGCATCTAACCCACGGGACCGTGCCGCCCGGCACGTTCATGTTACGTGTCCCGACCCCGACCAATCAGAGCACACTGTGCTCACAGGGAGGGTGGGGCTGGAGCTATTGGAGCTATAACGAGCCGTTAAAGGCAGAGAGTGAAATTCAGTGAATACACGTAGTTTACAGAGATGCTGTATGAGAAACCAATGTGAGTTGCGTTTATCTTTACCCATGGATGCACAATAAGAACGGACCCATATCGTCTTACTGCCACCCCACGGAGCTGTAATCATGGATATATTTGCTATAATTCATTATCATACTACATGGGCTGTATGATTAAATCTTGTACCGTAAATGTTGTATTAAATAAAGTTAATATTACTTATTATATAAGTATATATTATTATATAAATACAGTGCAATAATTATTTCATGCTAAATGAAGCTCTGTTGGATATCACTAGATCCTGTTACAGCGTAATATAAGTACATAACGATTGATGTGTACATTAGCATAATGACTAGCTAGCCGCTAGCTGCTAACTGCCGCCTCGTTCATATAAAATCCATGATAACAACAAACCATTACCATGCTGTCATGAACGCGCGGTGCTGTTACGTGTACGCAAATTGACGTGCTTGATGTGAACGAGCATTTTAAAGTTGCGCATGCGCTATGAGTGCACATACGGGTACTTCTCAGGCATGCTGGGTAATCTGTGACGTTTCGCTCTCTCAAAAGTTGGGCCATTTTATCATCATGCGCTAATGAGCAGCTCTCATAGGAATGAATGAGGCCCCGCCTCCCACGCTGTATCCAGTTATTATCATCCATGGGCAGGACATCATCTATCACGTACAATGTGTTGGAGCGCTAGCCAATAGAGGCGCGAGTGTCACAGGGATTGTATCCTTTGCAGACCATTTACATGCACTAAAACCTATAGAACACACTACAGGAGAGGGAAAACCCCAAAATGAATAAAACGGCCCCTTTTTGAAGTTAGGGTCAGATTGGATAAATGATTTTATCTTCATCTTTTAGCTCAGAGCAAACAGCTTTTAATAGTCCAACTGTTGTTTCCCGTCCCTTTCGTAGGCGTTCTCCACAGTGGGAACCCCCGACTACATCGCCCCAGAGGTCTTCATGCAGAATGGATACAACAAGCTCTGTGATTGGTGGAGCCTGGGTGTCATCATGTATGAGATGTTGATAGGTAAGGCTGTCTCGAGCTTGTTTACCCTCAGGCTGATGTGGTTGAAAGGGACAGTTGGTGATTCTGCTGTCCTCCCTGTGTGCAGGTTACCCCCCCTTCTGCTCAGAGACGCCTCAGGAGACGTACAGGAAAGTGATGAACTGGAGAGAGACGCTAACTTTTCCTCCAGAAGTGCCTATATCAGAGAAGGCCAAAGATCTGATCCTCAGGCAAGATCTCCTGTGTTCATCTCTCTCTCTCACTGTGCATTAATAACACATATCAGTATCTATTAGTATTGTATAATGACAATGAGGGCGTTTTATTTCTTCAACATGTCGAAGGGCACCTGAAAGGTTTGCTCCGAGTTATGAGTTGTGTGATATTAATGTGACGTGTGTTGTTCTCAGGTTCTGCTGTGAGGAGGAGCACAGGATCGGTGCTGTGGGGGTGGAGGACATCAAGTCCAACCCCTTCTTTGAGGGGGTGGACTACGACCATATCAGGTGGGGGCTTTTACATGGTCAAGGACAGTTATCACAAGGAGACATTTCAAATATTTTCTTTATCTTAGAGATGTTGTAGCTTGGAGTTGTGTCTGTACAGAGTCTGACTTCAGTAGGTTCTCAAAGTGCAACAACATGTATTTAAACCACTACTTTTCATCAGTAGTGGTGGCCATTATTGCAAACAATACATTTACCTTGATACCAGTTTTTCTAAATGTACAATGTTGTATAAATATAATAATAAAAATATAATTCAGTGTACAAAAATCGAAGGGGGACAGACTGCCGTTCTATCGGGGTGCTTTTATTTTCAACTTTTGTGGAATGTGCTCAATGTATTAATCAGAAACAAACGTTTGACTTCTGGTTCAGTTGGTAACCTCAGGGTTTTCAGAAGACCTTGGTATAGATATGTGCTCAACTCTCAGCTCGAGAAAATGTTGCATTATTCGGGACAATCAAGTGAAGGATAAAGTGTAGCTAGCAGCCATTCATTAGAAAATAACACGACAGGGTGAGCAGGGCCCTTCAACTACACGGCTACATACTAAATATTGATTCAGAATTATTTTTGCAATGCTCGTATTGCTTGCTTAAACTGCCTGAGCTGCTTGCCAGAAATAGCAGCTTTATCTCAAGTGACAATAGGAACTGCCACCCAGGTTCCAAATCAGCTGCTTTGGAACCTGGTTAACCGTTTCCAGGCAAACATGATCCTCACCAGCTCCCTCACTTCTCCAATGCATGATTTCTCTTTGGTGATTGTCCCACTCACCTTTCTCACATCACCTCCGCCTCTTCAGAGAGAGACCTGCTGCCATCCCCATCGAGATCAAAAGCATCGACGACACCTCCAACTTTGATGAGTTCCCTGATTCAGATATCCTCACCCCAACAGGTACGCTGCTCTTTCTGTTGCACAGTCTGCTCCTCTGTTGTGACGTCTGCAATAAGTTAAAGCATCTTCTCCCCCCAGTCGCTCCGGTGTCCAACCAGACGGAGGCCGACCTGAAGAACAAGGACTGGGTCTTCATCAACTACACCTACAAACGCTTCGAAGGCCTGACCGCCCGAGGGGCTATCCCGTCCTACATGAAGTCAGGGAAGAGATGAAGGCCTCCAGCAGGCTGCAGACCCACACCACCACGGAACCTGAAAGAGTCGCCCCCCCCTCTGCTGTGAGAGGAGCTTCGGCCCTGGAGGGAGAACTCTGTTTTCTGTTACCTGACTGAGGAGTCCCAGCACTCTGCGAATAATAAAGGGACTCCGTTTCATCCGCTGCTTTGCAGGAGCCGCCGCCTTCCTTTCCGCAGGTCTTCACTTTCTCCGATGCTTCCGAGGGTACCTTCCGCTTCCTGCTCACGCGTGAAGACTGAACTGACTCTCCACCAGTGGATGCAGTGGATGTTCTCCCTGCCGTCACCAGCATCCATCACATTCCCTCTGTAAACCAGCAGTTTGACCTACCAAGGGCTTCCAAACCAGACCCCCTCTCCCCTCTCCCCTTGGCCCTTTCTCTGTTGACTCTTCGCCACTTGAAGTGAATCAGGTGCTCTTCAGGGATCCTGTCCAAATGTTTCTGAGGCTTCTCTAAAGTGCTGCTGGCTTCTCACCTAACCAAAGACTGAGCTGAATGATGTGTCTGCTTCATCTCTCTATCACCTAACTTCTTCTTAGAAATGTATTTTTACTTTTTAGGTGCATATTGTGCTCGTTGAAATGTGTGAATATATGAGTGATGCATTTTGTGGAACAAACACAAGAGTCTTGTTACATGTTCACCGCTTATGTTGAATACCTTTAGCACCTTACGAGATGTTTGCTCCAGCTCTTTAATGAACCTACAGATCATGAATGTGTGTGTTGGACTGGAAGAGTGATGTTACTGTTGAAACGCCTTGAATATGATGCAAAGTCTCACCAGGGAGGGAAGCCTCCGTCATCATGAAACAAAACATCCCACGCACTCTGAAACCAATGCAACTCTTGTAGACTTAGCAGCTGTGTGACTCTTTAGCAGAATACAGAATGATGCACACGTGTACAGCCGAGTCGCTGCAGCCGGACAGGGACTTTTTAAATGGAAGCACAGGGCTAAACATCTTCCAGCGAACACAATATCCAAAATGCTGTCATTTCAAATGAATGTAAATGAAGATTTTATGGACAAAATGTTTTATTTTGCCACAATAATTCCACAATGCTGTTTGTGTGAATGTAGCCTGGACCATACAATATATCTTTTTCTTTTTTATAAGTGTCCTGGCACATGAGGTAGAAATATGGAAGCCCGTTACCACCCAGAAATGAGACTCAAGAATGTTAGCAAAAAACACTTTCAACAAAAAAGAGAATTAGCGAGGATAACATTTTTTTTTTTAACTTTTATTGACCTAAAGAATCTTAATTTTAGATTCAGTCAAAATTATGACAGGCCTTTTTATAAATGTAAGTTAATATAGGTTGCTAAATTTGCCTTCAAATATTTATTTTAATCTTAATCTTGACTCAGAATTTTGATTTATTAAGAGGTCAAATTGTATGTGTAACCATTGACTGTAGTAACATTTATAAATATGTCTATACACAAAACATTTAGAGGTTGACTTTAAATTCATTTTGTCAACAGATTAGACTTAATTGTATGATGTTAGTTGAAAGCAATAATATTAGGTTGAAAGAAAAAATATCAACCTAATATCCAACTAACCTAATACAATTACTTTTTTATTTAATTAAGTAAAACTTTTTTTTTCATAACAAATATTGAGTTTCATCGCCATATTTAGAGATTTACTGTTTTATTAAAATGACTGAAAGTATCTCTTTTTTAAAATAGATCTTTAAGAGTCGGTGTTTATGATCGGGACTTTCACGGGCAGGAATGGACTTGTGTGTGTGTGTGTGTGTGTTGGAAGCGCATTTCAGAAAAGCATGCAATGGGCTTTTTTCTATGGCGGGGGGGGGGGGGGGGGGTCACTATTTGTACCTGCTCTGCATGTCTCACAGCAGCAGATGGGTCCTCTTAAAGCAATAGAGCACATGGGATGACTGATGATGTCACCCTGTGTGGGTGAGGATGTGATCGGTAAAATAATGTTGGATTGGTGTGTGTGTTTTTCTACAAGTGATGCGCCATTGTGTGTATGCTCTGCTCATGTAGTCATGTGATCTGAGAGCCTGAAGTGAGGGATTATGGGAAGCTGGGTGAACATTATTTAAACCACTTTTTAGCGCGTGGCTGTTGTATAGTTTTCTGCTATTTGACAATGAATTGCTCTGCACTTACTGTGTCGTGTCCTCCTTAGAAACGTGTCGGGGTTATATGAAAAGAAACGTCTTTTTAATAGTTACATTAAATTCATTTACAATATTGCAATATACACACACCCTTTCAGATATCAAAGCCTTTCCATTACTTTTCAAAATGACCTTTCCTTGCAATCTTGCTAAAGAAATGTACACATTATCCTGCCAAAAATGATCATCACGATTATTTTTGATAATATTGAGAGCACCATTATTTATCAGGATTATTCACTGGTGTAAGTGACCAGACATTTTGATTGTATTCACATGTAATGAAACAGAGCAATGCTTTCACTGCTACAGTGCACACATTAGGGCTGCACCATGTTAGAAAACAGACATTGCAACATTGCTTGCGTGCTTGTTAAAAGTACGCTCAAAGGAAAACAAAGGTCAAATCAAAGAGCCATTCATTGATGGTTAAAATACAATGAATTACTCCAACCGCTGAATAAGTGAAAGAATACATAAGAAATACACAAACAGATAATACAAATGAATTAAACGGTATAACTTAACGTAGCACTACTGCTAATGTGTAAACATTAAACTAGCCAAATACAAATAAAAAGAGTTATTGTAAATGACATATAACACCAACAAATGACAGTAACTAACTGCAGGATGTTTTGTAGTAGCTTTATTGGACAGTTTGTGGTACACATGTTCAAATACAGCATAACACGCACATGCTTTACATCATCACTACTCATCCCAAACACTAAAGCTTTGAGATCAGGAGGGTCTTTCTGACTCAGCTGGGCAGGGGGCTCTGCTCCCCCCCCTGCAGCCCCCCCATCATGGAGCCCAGGGTCCCGCTGCTTCCTCCGTCAGGCTCCATCTGAGCCGCCACGCTCAGGGCTGGGGGGGGCTGCTCCAACACTGAGGGGGGGATGGAAACGGGGGTGGTGGCACCGAGGCTCTGCACCGTCACTGAGGACTGGCACAGAGGGAGGTTAATGACATAAGATAACATCAATGTTCTACAAGTTTCCATATTGCTGCTGGTCAATTAAAAAGAAAGACAGACAAAGTCTGCAGAGTGTCACTGGGTGGAGCTAGTCACCCGAGAGGCTGAGGAAAAGTAGGTTAAAGATGATTTGATCCATGACGAGTGTATTCTGCGTCTAAATTGTTAACACTAGCTTAGTTGAGCAATAGGTGTGTTGCTATAGTTGTGCTGAGAAAGACTTCTTTGTTGTTAACATTTGCAGACAGAACTGTCCTGGAGCATAAACACCGTGTGTGTGAATAGGAACAGTCAACCACTTTCAAACAAGCCCTCAAATCCCACCTCTTCAAACTTGCTTTTCCCTTGGAACCCCCATGGCATAACTCCGCCAATCTGAATGGTACATTGTCTGTTTTTCTTTTAGCACTGTGACTTTAGTAAAGCGTCATTTTGTGTCTTGAAAAACATTTTATAAATGAAATGTATGATTATTATTATAATTGTTATAATTGCACAGAAGCTCACATTATCTATTGAATGTGTTTGTAATATTTAAACTTTAAAAAAAGCGTCCTAATGATTATTACAACTTCATATCAATATTTACAGGCTGGAAAGTAGTAATAACTTTAACACCCATGTGACAATAAATGTCAAGAACACCAACAATAAAGATTCCTCTGATTTACATAGTTAGATGTAAATTAACACATTTATATATGTAAATACAATAGAGAAGGGACAATGCAGAAAATGAATCAGAAAAAATAAAGAAAAACAAGACCGAAGCTATTTTACATCCGACTGAGCAAACAGTATAACTGAAGAACAGAAAAGTAACAAAGGCCATAAGTGTCAAATACTGGAGGGAATCAGCTCCCGGAGCAGGAGAGAGACCCCCCCCAGCAGGGTAAACTCACGTCGCCCACAGAGGCGTGGCTGCCGGCCGCCGCCTTCTTCTTGCGGGCCATGCCGGGGTTCCAGTGGCACACCAGACTGTCGTTCTGCACGCTGTAGTTCTTATGGCCCACCAGCCAGTAGGTGTTCATTTTGCCTTTACCCTGCAGGAGGAGGGACAAAACAATTTGTCAGTTAGTGAGAACTCTTAGGGAAGACGCTCTAAGAGAAATATCAACACGTTTTGGTATTTCTCTAAATAAAACATTATTTGGAGAAACATCAGAGGAAATCAAAAAGAAAGATTATTCCACATGCCTTGTAAAAAGAATAGCAATAATAAAATACAGCAACTTGTAAAAGATAATGGCGTTTTCAGAATGGAAGACTGTTAAATGACCCTGATAATTAGAAATCAAGTTCATATCTTTGACCATTTAACCACGGCTGGGATCTTTTACCTTCACCTCGATCTCTCCTCTCAGCTGCAGCTCGTACGCGTTGTCTTTGATCAGAGCCAGGTAGGTTTCTGAGCTGGCGTGGATTTTCTGAGCTGACACACAAACAACAACACACTTTGAAACACAACTGATGTGTGGCCAAAGTCAAACAAGCCATGTTTGCCAGCACTATCACTATTTTACAAAAAGTCTGATATCTAGTGACTTGTAGTACAATTGTAGAAATATACAATCTTTTTTGAATGCCAGCACAACAATAACCATCAGAGGTGAAGCTCCAGCAGGACTTGAAGTTCACAGAACAACTGTTTTGTGAGACCACTGTGTTTCAGATGTGTGTGCTGTGTGTGAAGGGACACGTACGCAGGCTGGTGGACTCCATCCTGGACGCCGTGTTGACGGTATCTCCAAACAGACAGTATCTGGGCATCTTGTAGCCCACGATCCCCGCCACGCAGGGACCTGCAGAGCCAGGAGACAGCTGCTTCACTCTGCAGGACGCTCAACCCTAACTGATGGTAACCTTGTCATTGTAATGCCCTAAGGGACCTGGTGCCCTCCCCACAAGGCGGATCAGAAACGACCCTGTGGTTCTGACAGTTCTCCTCAGAGCTACCTCACCTGTGTGGATGCCGGCTCTCAGCTGCAGCCTCTCGTTGGGCATGTGAGGGATGGAGACCTGCCTGACGGCGGCCACCAGGTCCAGCGCCATCTTGGCGATCTCATCAGCGTGTCTGTCCCCGTTCCTCTCCGGCAGACCGCTCACCACCATGTACGCATCCCCAATGGTCTCCACCTGTACGTTATGATGTTTATACTAGCTTTCATGTGCTTCCAGTTTAAACATTTAAAGCAAAGAGCATAAACAGCACAGTAAGTTGGTCCGGTAAGTGGTAGAATGGGTTTGTATTGTTGTCTGAGTGGAGACAAATGTCAGATATCAGTTGCACAAGTCCACAGATACACAGGGATTTTCCTCTTTCTAACCCTAACCCTAAAAACCTGTAGATCACTACAGGAATGGGAAAAGCCAATAAAAGCATCATAAGGCCAACAACATTTCATTGCACCTTGTAGACGTTGTAGGAGTCGATGCGCGTGTCGAAGCACATGTAGAGGTTGTTGAGCATCTCCACCACCTGCAGAGGAGCGCAGGACGCAGAGATGGAGGTGAAGCCCACGATGTCCGAGAAAAAAATAGTCACCTGGACCAAAATGGAGAGAGGTGACTCCATCAGTCTGCTGGACAGAACAGTATACAAATAATATAGTCTACCGCAACAGTCCTACAATAAATCATAGGCTTTATAACACAAACACCTCTGTAAAACTGAAACCACATGCTACAAATACAAAGTTTAATCCACATCTTTCTCTGTCATAGAGGTAACACTGCTGTTAGTTATGTAAAAGTGATAATACAGCATTGGAAAAATATACCTTTATAAGTGAAAGCTCTGCATTCAAAAAATCCTTAAAGAAACTTAAATGTTATGTTCGGAATGAATCATACACAAATCTCCTTATTGAGTTTCAGCCTCACTTTGTCCTAACCATACAGACCCTTCAACAATAATTGGCATCTTTTAACTCATGTGAGAGCCCCCCCCCCCCCCCTGATTGACAAGTGTTAGAGCCTCATCAGGGATCAGCCATCATGCTATAGTTTTCTGTGTAGTGGAAAAAGAAGAAGAACTTATATTTTCTTTCCATTTCCGGTTAAAGATGAGCTTATGGTCCTGTGCTGTATTAACAGCACCCCCCCCCACCCCACCCCTCCCATGCAGCCCCAG